TTATATGATTAATATTTAGAACATACTTAAAATATATTTACTCAAAGATATCAAGTCTTTTCTAATGAAAAAAGTTTTCTAACTGGAGCATTATAGAATAGAATACTATTTCTTTTAACAGAGCATACAGTTGATTTTCAGGCTAACAAGTTCGCCCAGGTTCCAAGTCAATGGCTGTGTTGACCGTCATCTCCATGTTTTCTGTCCTTGTATTTGTCCAAAGTGTCTGTTTTGCTGTAATACTAAAATATTCAGACAAAAGAACACAAGTAAATCTTTCAAAAAATATTTACTAATTTAATTCCCCAAAGTTTTTTTTAAAGCCTGTTAAGTGCTAAGTTTACATGGTATTGAGGGTCATGAGAGTTTCTAGTATTATGGTGGATAAATGAAAGGTCTTGATAAAGAGAATAAGGCCTGTTTACTTATACTAGATTCCCTGTGGAATGAATCAGCGAAAGCTACTTGCTGACTGCTTGATTACAGCTACTCTGTTTCTCAACTACGGTTGGTGAACGCTAATACAACTTTAAAGAATAAAGTATTCTCAAGTGGCAAATAGAAATCAAGAAATTAGATTGACACAAAAGCCAAAATCTTACCTCTTAAAGAATTCAGAGATCTTGTTGTTTGTTATATAGCAGTGCTATCTTTTATTTTTATTTACCTTTGGGGATATATCTCTGAAGATTCTAGATTCAAATGTGAATTCAAAAGCACCAGAGGTCATTATTATATTCTCGAGTGAATATTGAGCAACTCTGTTCACACAAACTCAACTAGTCTTTAAAGGTTCTGTCAATTCTCAAGTAATTTTTTTTCTTTTTATGTAGCTATTGGTATACTTTCATTGATAAGTGTAGGAGGTATAATAACTTTAAGTAATCTAACAGTTAATAAAGGTTTTTATTTAGTTTGCTAGTTCAGGTTAAAGAATACTAAAGAACCAATTCAAAAGAGTAACTCCAATTCATTCGTTTATTTAACATTTATTCCGTTTTTTTTTTTTTGAGAGAGATTTTTGCTGTATGGCATGTGTGTACATAAGAGAGACAGAGAGCAAGAAACTACTCCCCTCTACTAGGGCAGATGGCCACATCACAATCCCTTTCCTCATTGTCCTCTTGGGCACTCACACACATGCGCCTGGTGTGAGTTTCAAGCCACCAAGTCCAGGACTCAAACTACAGTCAACCTCATGGGAATCCAGTGATGTAACTATTATACCATCTTATGGTCTCAACATTTATTCATTTTATAAGTGTATTGTCATGATAGATGTAAGGAACTCCATTAGGTACCTCAAGAAAAATGTAGTGGGATGCCATGTAAAGTTAAATTTTAAAGAATACAATTGTTTCATAATGTACAAATTATTTCTAGCAAAAGATATAAAAGAAGTACTTCTAAATTGTGTGGGTAGGAAACTATGCGGTAAAAAGTTTTGGCTCACTTTCTGATAAAACGTCGTTTCTCACACTGCATGCCCCAAAGCGATGCCTCCTGGTTAGTGGTTTACATGACTGGATGAATGATGACGGAAACAGCAACCTTCAACCTGAAGACCCAGATTAATTCCCTTCCAAATCCTAATTTTAGAAATCTTATCACATCCTTCTGATACCCTCCTTGATATAATTGGTTTATTCAGATAATACTAACTTTTATTCAGAGGCTGATCTGTCACAAGCCCTGTGCTTAATGTTTCCCATGAATTATCTCATTTATTCCTCACAAGAATTCTCATTTTGCTAATTTTATAGATTAGAAAACTAAGGCTTTATTTAATCTATGTGCCCAAATGTACTCCATTCGTGAAATTAATTTTGGGCTTAAAATTTGTGTCAGACTGACGGTTAGGATGTGTACTCCAAACTCCTTTTGTCACTCACTATATCTCCTGTGCTCATACTATGCCCCAAACCCCTACTTAAATGATGTTTTTCTTTAAGTAATGGGATGCATGCTTATGGATAAGGTCACGCTGTCCATCTTGGTGGAATCCAAGATGGCTGCCAAAAGATTTTGAAGGATCCCAAACCTCATCATAACGTCATTTCTATACTAAATAACACACCTAACAGTGCCATGACAACTTATAAACACCAGGGAAAGCACTGAAAGAATATTAAAAGAGAGAAAAGAATGGGGGTTTTGGAATTCTAGGAGGTCCCTATCTTTTGCAGGGCAAGGCTTTGAATATTCGTCTTCTCTATCACCCTATCCCAGGCCCTCACTACTGTTTTTGTTATATCTTACACTCCTCAGTCCACATGAACAAAACGTTTTTTTGGGAATCTTGCTCCTTCATGTCCATCCTTTGCCATCAAATAGAGCTTGTATCATTATAATCAGTTTGGTTTCATAAGTTGACTCCAGAACACCAAATCACAAAAGCTTCCATTTTTGAGAATAAACTAAAAATTGTATACTCTGTCACCAAAATTTAAGTGGCTACTTGATGGCTACTGGTTCTCTGCTAGTCCCTGATTTACATTTTTTTCCTCACTACTCTCAACACCCTGCCATATTGCCTAATAGTTGCTGAATTCAGGGATTAGGTGGTATCTCATTGTGGTTTTTATCTGCATCTCCCTTATGATAAGGGATGTTGAGCATTTCCTCATATGTTTTTTGGCTGTTTGTATGTCCTCCTTAGAGAGATTTTTGTTCAGCTCATTTTCCTATCTTTTAATTGGGTTAATCATTTAAAGCAATTATTCATTTTCTTTAAAGAAATTGAACAAAACAGAAAATTTAGAAAAATAACAGAAGTTATAAAGAAGGAAAAAAATTACAACTTAAATATATAACATCAAAATTATATTTGATATATAAGCTCAACAGCAGAGTGGATAAGTAGAGAATAAGATAGCAGATTCAAGCATAGTTACAAAAGCTTGAATAAAGATGAATAGAACAACAAAGAAATTAGATTCAAAAATAAAAAAAGCTACATACATCTGTGAAAAAATTAGAACAATTATATCTAATAATCTCTAAATTATTCTAGAGAAAGAGGAGAATAAGAGGAGATTGAAAATGGAACTAAAAAATATTTTTTAAATGACTGATATCTCAAAATTACAAAAACTGTATAGAGCTAAGATACAGAAAGCCAAACAAACCTCAAATAGCAAAAAAAAACAAGGAAATTCACACCAAGAGATACCCTAATTTAAAATTTGAAAATTAAAGACAGAAAAATCTTGAGAATATCTAGAGAAAAAGAATTTATTACTTAAATGGAAAAAGTGATTTTTAAGATAAGTTTCTCATTCGAAACTGTGAAACTGGAAGAAAATAACAAACTTTTCTTTTTAAAATTGATTTTAAAATTGTATATGTTAAAGGTGAAAAACATGATGTTTGACATACATCTCAGCAGATTTCCAGTACACCAAGAAATAATGTTAACTGGTACTGTTGCTGTACATTAGTATCTCTGAATTTATTCATCTCCCATAATTGCAGTATAGTTTCTTCAGTCTATCTTCCATTCTTTCCATTTCATGCCTGGTAACCAACATTATGCTGTCACCATATATTTAACTTTTATAAGATTCCACACATCAGTAAAATCAAGCAGAATATTTCTTTATGTATCTGATTTATTTCACATAGTGTACATCTTCATAGTCTATCCACGTTGCTATCAATGACAGAAGCCCTTTATTTTTCAAGTGAATAATATTAAATTGCATGTGTGTGTGTGTGTGTGTGTGTGTGCATGTATGTGTGTGTATGCCATGATTTTTAAAATCTATTCTTTTACCAATGAACATGCGGGTGTTTCTATTCTTTGGTTATTGTAAATAATGCTGAAATTAACATGGTAATTCCGAAAAGATATTAATTTTATATCCTTTAGATATATATTCAATGTTTATACTTATTTTGCCAGTTAAATGTTGAATACATCTAAAAATATACCATCAGGGAAATATCTAGTCAGGGTGATACACAAAATTAATAATAATAGGGGTACAACTATAAACTACATAAGAAGTTTCAGCATAAAGTAGAAGTTTTGACTATTAAGAAAGAGAGTAGTAGATTAATGTTGGACTCAGAAAGTAGAAGACTTTGTGGTAGAATGTGGGATCACAGGAAGGAAAGTAAATCATTCTCAGTCTTCCGAATTAATAAACTGATTAAATTTCTGGGTCTCTCACCTGGGAGTGAGCAAATTGGAGGTAGAAGAAATGACAGTGAATCAGAATAAATGTGGTAGTCATTAGCATATAGAGAAAAATAAAATTCTCAAGGAAAAATAGTCCAAAACCTTCAAGCATCCAAAGCACAGAATTGTCTGAGCATGCACAAGTCGCTCCAAGGGATTGTTCCACTCATTCCCTGAGTTGATCTGAAATTCTGGTAATTTGCAGAAGTCACTTCTTTTATCTGACAGAGGAATTCATAGGTCATCAGTTTTTCAGTTCCCTATACCTTTAAGGTCTGAGTCAGAGGCTAGGACCACAGACTAGCATTTAATGGACCCGTAATGCCCATCCCAACAGATAATCTTACTGTAATAAAAACACCTTCAGTAATTTTATTGTCTGTTCTACTTTGTCATTTTATCTCAGACTGTATATTTAGTCATAACCATTATTATCACCCACATTTCGAGTAAGCTACTAGTCAACATTGGTTTAATATAAAAGAGTTGGAAGTACAATAACCCCATTACACAACAGATAACTGATCTTGAAAAAATATGAATACAAATGATATAGAATTTTCATCAAAATATTTTCATGAGAAATATTTTTATATTAATATTAAATTAAATAAATTAAAGGTAACTTACTATGAACCTCTAATTAACTACTTTATATTTGCACACCCACACTCTATAGTCACTAAAAAGTTTCAAAATAGCTAAATGATACATGGGCAGACATATTTCAATCACACTCAGTTTTATTTTATTATGGAATATTTATTAATATTTATGGAATATTATATGTCAAATCATGTAAAAATACCATATATTACTAAGAAAATATTTTTCTTCCAAGTTGTCTCTTCAAAGCACCTTTAATCTCAGTATTCCTGAGACTGTAGATGAGGGGGTTCAACATGGGGATGACTACCATGTAGAACACAGACACCACCTTGTTCTGGTCAGTTGAGAAGCTGGACTTGGGCATCACATAAATGAATGTCACAGTCCCATAGAACAGAGTAACCGCAATGAGGTGGGAGGTACAGGTAGAGAAGGCCTTGTGACGCCCCTTGGTGGAGTGCATCCTCATGATGGTAATGAGGATGTAGATGTAGGAGACAGCTATCACAATCGCTGAGACCACAATGATGGAGCCAGCTGAAAATGAAGGCACAACTGCAAGGACACTAGTATCAGAACAAGAGATTTCAAGTAAAGGTGCAAAATCACAGAAAAAATGGTTGACTACATTGGGTCCACAGAAGACTAAAGAAAATACACAAATAGTAAAGGAACAGGCATCAGCAAAACCACCCACATAGGCAACTAGGAGTAACTGTGCACAGACTAGCGTGGACATCTTGGCCGAATAAAGTAGTGGGTTGCAGATGGCCACAAAGCGATCATATGCCATGGCAGCCAGAAGGAGGCACTCAGTTGACCCAAAAAACACACCTGCACCAAGTTGAAGTCCACAGTCAAGGTAAGAGATTGTATTTCTTTCCACCAAGAAGTTTACAAGCATATTGGGTGTGACAGAAGATGAGTATCCTATGTCAACAAAAGCCAAGTGACTCAGAAAAAAGTACATGGGATGATGGAGCTGAGAGGAGATTCTGATCAGGATGATTGTGCTGAGATTGCCAAATATGGTCACCACGTAGATGCACAGGATGACCACAAACAGGATGACTTGAAGGACTGGATCATGGGTTAAGCCCAATAATATGAACCTGGTCACTGCAGTGTGGTTTCTATACACTCCGGGATCCATGAGACAGTGAAACTGTTTCCAGAACAAGTCTATGATAAAAACAATATATTAAGGAATTAAAAAAATTGATGATTTTCTTTTCATTAATGAATACATAGAGATTATCTATCTATCTATCTATTAAATATAAAGGATTTAAAAATTCTAATTTAATACAATTTGGAGAAGCAAATGTAAAATGACTTGAGCTTATAAAACCAGAATTTACAATTATCCATAAATAGTCAAAAGACAAATCATGGAACCAATTCAATTACAAATTCAGAGTTACTCTAATGTTGATTACAGAATCACTTTTTCGCTCTCCAAGTAAGGGTTCAGCTGTTTTGATGTGGAACAACCCAAGTCTGACAATTCCCTGAAGTTTCTGTTCTGTACCCATAAAAGACCACATATAACCCCCATCAGGGCCAGAGATTCAGGGTGTTAACTCCTCCACACCCACTGGCGTACGGTTCCTATCTCCCGAGTACTGCTTTCCATTCCTCAGCATCTGGTTTTCTGCAAGAGTTTAATTGTCCATATCTTCACTGCTATTCATACTCCTTCCTCTCCTCCTAAAACCAGTGTTTTCATACCCCAACCACATCAAACATACTAGGCACATCTTCCCTTTCACAAAGCTTAGCGAGATGATGTCTCTTTTTGGCTTATATGAACCATCTTCCTTTTGTAAATACTCTCCTTCTCAGCCTCATCTAAGTCTTTAGCCTCCACCCTGGTGTCCCCTTGGTCCCAGTTCCAGCAGGACAGGTCCTCTTCTAAAAGGAAAGCTGCATCAGTGAGGCCACACTAGCCACATAGGAAGACCTCCCTGTGCCAATCCCTGCTGGGCTCCTAGATGTCTAGCACCATTGTGCTCCAGAAAGTTACACTGTTGTTCTCCCTCCTTTCCTCATTTCTTGTCAGTATTCTGCTTTCTCATGAAATCAATGCCAAGGAAGTATCAGGTCAATCCTAGGTCTTCCTGGCTCTCACAACATTCACTGATAACAGAGTGACTACGACGGACATGTAGAGGTTATTAAGAACAAGTATACCAATCCAAGTTTGGGGTAAAAAAATATTTCTTATATTTTTAACTCTGAAATACTAGAGCTTGTAATATTTAAGTGTAATGTGTCTTTTAGGATTTCAAGAACACCAGAAAAATTGTTTCAAATAATTGAATAATTTATTTACATGAGCACTTGAAAATGTTCATGGAAAAATGAAAACACAGTATGAGTTTATGTTTGCAGAAAAAAAAAGTTCATGTTTGTTACAAACATTATAGTTTGTAACCCATCTATAATGTTTTTCATAATATACATTTTCCTTGATCTTTTTGTAGAGCATTTGCGTGTATGCATGTGTTTATGTTTATGTGTGTGTGTGTACATGAAGCAGCACATAATGTACATAAATAAAATGTACCCTTAAGTTCTAAAGCTAAGGATTTAAAATATGATGCATTAAAACAATAAGGGGAATAAGTATAAAACAAGAGTCAATTCTGTGAATACAGGATTATGTAGTGAAGATAAATAATGGCTAACATTTACTCAATGCTTACTAAATTGGGGGCAGAAGATTAAAATATATTTATATAGTTCTATTTAAATTTCCATAAATTGATACTGAATACTGTTATTGTTTCTTATTTTATAGATGAGAAAACTGAATATATGAAGTTACTTACCTAAGGTATATACAAAATAGTAGAAACAGAATATGAAACCCAGACAATTTGAATTCAGTCCATTCCCTTAGAAACTCTGCTAGGAATAAAATTAAATGGTAGTTACTATGAAGTCCATTTTACTTGTAAATGGGGGGGATAACAGGTGGGCCTTTTCATTTTTATGACAGCTAATTTATCAAAAAGGTGTGCAATTAGGCACATAGTTTTCAGTGTTTCTCCATTAAGAATGGCCATTTAAAAATATTGATTTAATTTTTATTATTATTTCATTTGATGAGAGATAGAACAAGAGAGAGTGATGAGAGAAAGAGAGAGAAAGGGTAAGTGAGAAAGCAAGTCACCAGCTCTAGAACTTGAACTGTGGCCATGTAGAAGTCTAATGCCTTGGCCACCTGCCAAACCCAATAATGACCATTTCTTTAGAATGAGAAATACAATATTCTAGATAGGAAGTAAGAAATAGAAAAGAATTCCAAATTAAGATTACGAATAAAGCTGCATAATCTAATTTTGTTAAGTATTTCTTATATTTCCAATAAAAATATTCTTTTATCCAGTCATATGAAATTTTAATGTAATCACTATAAAAAACATTATATGATTAAAATTTAGGACATACTTAAAATATATTTACTCAAAGACATCAAGTCCTTTCCTAATAAAGCAAAGTTTTCTAACTGAAGCATTATACAATGTAGTAGTATTACTGGTAACAGAGCATACAGTTGATTTTTAGGCTAATGAGTTCACCCAGGTCCCCAGTCAATGGCAGTATTGACCTTCATCTCCAAGTTTTCTGGCTTTCTGCCCTTATATTTGTCCAAAGTGTCTGGTTGCCTGTGATGCTAATACATTCAGACAGGAAAAAACAAACAAACAAACAAACAAACAAACAAACAAACAAAACACACAAATAATCTTGTCAAAAGATGTTTACTAACTTAACTCCCCAAACCATTTTAAAGCCTGTAATTTTATTAGCATTATAGTTAAATGCTAAGTTTACGTAGTATTGAGGGTCATGTGAATTTCTAGTTTTATGGTGGTTATATGAGGAATCTTGATAAGCAGAATAAGGCCGGTTCATTTATAGTAAATTCACTGTGGAATGATTCAGGGAAAGTTGCTTGCTGACTGCTTGATTACAACTCCTCTGTTTCTCAACTATGGGTGGTGAACACAGATACAACGTTAAAGAATAAAGTGTTCTCAAATGGCAAATAGAAATCAAGAAACTCGATTGACTCACAAAAGCCAAAAATCTTACCTCTTGAAGAATTTTGAAACCTTGTTGTTTGTAATATAGCAGTGCTATCTTTTATTATTTACCTTTGGGGATAAATCTCTAAAGATTCTAAATTCAAACATAAATTCAAAAGCACCAGAGGTCATTTTTACATTCTCTAGTGAATACTGAGCAACTCTATTCACACAAACTCAACTAGTATTTAAAGGTTCTGTCAATTCTCAAGTAATTTTTTTTCTTGTTATGTAGGTATTGGTATACTTTTATTGATAAATGTAGGGAGTATAATACTATAAATTATCTGACAATTAAATAAAGGTTATTTATTTACTTTACTAGTTCAGGTTAAAGAATACTAAAGTACCAATATAAAAGAGTAACTCTAATTCATACATTTATTCATTTTTTTAAGAGAGATTTTTGCTGTGTGTTATGTGTGCTCACCAGAGAGACAAAGAGCAAAAAATTACTCCTGCTCACCCCAGTCAGATGGCCACACCACAATCACTTTGCTCCATTCTCCCCTAGGGTTTTTGGGCATGCACACAAATACGCCTGGCATGAGTTTTAAGTGTCCAAACTGCAGTCGACCACATGGGAATCTAGTGACATAACTATTCCACCTTCTACTGATCTCAACATTTATTCATTTTATAAATATATTTTGTCAAGATAGATGTAAGAAACTCTATTAGGTACCTTAGGAAAAATGGAGCAGGATGCCATCTAAAGTTAAAATTTAAAGAACACAATTATTTCATAATGTACATATTATTTCTAGCAAAAGCTGTAAAAGAAATACTTCTAAGTTTTATGGATAGGAAACTATGAGGTGAAAAGAGATTTGGATCACTTCATGATAAAACATCGTCTCTCACACTGCATGCCTCAAAGAGGTGCCTACTGGTTAGTGGTTTACATGACTGAATGAATGATGACGTAAACAGCAGCCTTCAACCTGAAGACCCAATCTAATTCTTTTACTAATCCGAATTTTAGAAATCTTATCACATCTTTCTGATACCCTCCTTAATATAATTGGTTTATCTGTATAATACTGACTTTTTTTTTTTTTGAGAGGTTTTTGCTATAGGGTGTGTGCTCTCAGCAGAAAGACAGAGAGACAGAGAGACAGAAAGCGAGAAATCACCCCCCAGGGGGGATAGCCATGTCACAGTCCCTTCTCCTCCCTTCTCCTCTCGGGATCTTGGGCATGCACGCGCATGCGCCCAGTGTGAGTTTTAAGCCACTGGGCCTGGGACTCGAACCGCAGTCAACTACATGGGAGTCCAGCGACATAGCCATTATGCTAACTGCTGGTCCCAATACTGACTTTCTTAATGTTTCCCATGCATTATCTCCTTTATTCCTCACAAGAATTCTTATTTTGCAAATTTTATAGATTAGAGGACTAAGGCTTTGTTTAATCTACTTGCTCGAATGTATTCTATTTGTAAAATTAATTTGGGGTTTACAATTTGAGTCAGACTGACAGGATGTGTACTTCGAACTCCTCTTGTCACCTTTTGTCACTTACCATATCATCTGTGCTCGTGCCATACCCCATCCCCCTACTTAACTGATGTTTTTCTTTACGAAATGGGATGCATGCCTGTAGATTAGGTTATACAGTCCATGTTGGTGGAATTGAAGATAGCTGCCAAAATACTTTTGGAAGACCTCAAACTTCATCATAATGTCATTTCTCTACTAAATAACACATCTAACAGTGCTATGACAATATATGAACACCAGGAAAACCACTGAAAGAATCTTAAAGGAAGAAAAAGGATGGGGATTTTAGAATTCCAGAAGGGCCACATGTTTTCCAGGACAAGACTTTGAATATTCGTCTTCTCTATCACCTTATCCATTCCCCTCACTATTCTTTAATTATATCTTAAAATCCACGGTCTGAGATAGCAAAGAGATGATCTGTGAACTCTCCTTCATGTCCATCCGTGGCCATTGGATAAAGCTTGTACCAATATACTCAGTTTGGTTTCATAAGTTGACTCCACAATACCAAATGATAAAAAACTTCCATTTTTGAGAGTAAATTAAAAATTGTACACTCTGTCACAAAATTTAAGTGGCCACTTGAAGACTACCAGTTCTCAGCTAGTCCCTGATTTACATTTTTTTCCTCACCACTTTCAGCACCCTGCCTTATTGCCTAAAAGTTGCTGAAAAATTCTGAACCTGAGTAATGTCCAGTAGTCAGGATCCTATATCAATCTCAGGTGTTCACCAATGACCAACTCTACTGATTTTACCCCTAAATTCTTCTGAAATGTGTTCATTTCTATCCATTTTACCTCTGTAATTACTGCCTTAATTAATTTTCCTATGTGCATCATTTCCCTTCCAATGAACATGCAGAGTGAATTACTTATTAAGATAATTTAATTTAAAAAAGTTTTTTTTTTACTGTTTCTAAATAGTTGCATGCACTTAGTAAATTGGCTTTTAAGACAAAAGACTTGCCAGTATCTTGTAGAGATATTGCATATGATGGAGCAAAAAACAAAGGTTTTCATCTAGAATTGCAGGACCAACTATGTCTCTTCCAAACACACTCTTGTCACCTACGTTCTTCATTCTTGTGTGGAATATTTTCACCTTTGCAGAGTACTGAATCAGACAAATCTGTTCACCTTTTTCTTTTTTTCTTTCTTTTTTTTAAAATCATGTCATTCACTTATTACTGTATCCATGCAGGCCTTTCGTTCGTCATACACTAACTGAATATCCCATATAGAGATGGCATGATGGAAGATGTCAGCAATTAAGCTATGAAGAAAGGCAAAGTCTTCCCCTGGACTTATGTTGCTCCTTCCATACACTGTTTCAAAGTTTAATGCCTTTATTTGTGTTGGCTTCTCTCACCTGCCAGGCAGAACTGTTTTTGGTGCCAGGCAATCTTTCGAAGAGTTTCTGTTGGCTAAAACTTAGTTCCTTAGCTTTCCAGTCGTATCTCAAGGTGTGATATTCCAGTCAAAGCCCTGGCAATACCAGTATTTCCAATTTCTGATGCAAGGCAACAGATATTATTAAGCTTATGCAAATAATCATTCTGACTCAAAATAAGAATACTCATAATTATTTTCCAATTTAGAGAGATCAGGAAGGGAGAAACGTTGATGTTTCAATTGCAAAAAAAATTTTTTTTTTAACTAATTGCTAATCATATCAATAGCTCAAAAGAAAACAAAAGTCCTTAAATCTGGAAAACAAAACATAGAAGAAAATCAGTAATGGTTTAGTCAAAAGTCATAAGATTCTATTTCACCTGTTCAGTATCATGTAATTAACCTCTCTTCTGCTGAATTAGCAATATTACTGTGTTCTGATCTTTTGTTTAAATCCTGGAAGTTAACATTCAATATTATTCTAGATATTTCCAGACATGTCCCTACCATTAACTTGGCCATTTTCTTGGTCATTTTTTCTTCTCTTATTTCTGTCTGTCTGCTTTTAGTTCTCCAGGTACAGCATTCCTTTCAGAACTTCTTGAAGAGCTGATCTGGTATTGATAAATTCTTTCAGGTTTTGTTTATCTAATAGGGTTTTTTATCTTTTCTTCCTATATGAAAGATAATCTTGCCCTGTATAGTATTCTTGGTTGAAATTGTTTTTCATTTAACACTTCAAATATATTTTCCCCTTCTTTCCTTGCTCACATTGTTTCCGATGAGAGGTCTGATTTTTGTCTGATGAGATAACCTTTGTAAATAATTTGACGTGTCTCTCTTGCCAATTTTAGTACCATGACTTTGTAGTTTTTGCTCATCTGGCTATGATGTGTCTTCGAGGAGATATTCTTGGGCTGATTCTATTTAGGGTCCTTTGTATTTCTTGGGTCTAGATATTTGAAAGCCACTTTAGGTTTAGAAAGTTTTCATCCAGGATTACATAGAATAGATTATCAATGCTCTATTATTACACATTTCTTCCTAATTTCTTGGAGGTAATTCTATACATTCAGAAGCATTTGGGAGGAGGTGATCCATAATTTCTCTTCAGTTCCATTTCTTTGATGTTCACCAATAAACTTGTGCTTTTTTCATAGAAACTGGATACTACAAAGGCCTCCCAGTTTCTAGAGAACAAGTGCACCTGGGGATTCAACTGAACATTCATAAGAGTGTGGGAGATGAGCTGCACTCTCTCTCCAGCTCTGTAGTGCTCCTTACTGCTCACTCTGCAGCCTCTCTTCTCTGATTTTTAGCCACTTGGTGGTGTATTCACTTTTGACTAATTTGTTGAAGAAGTTTTTTACAACTGTCAGCTGTGTGCTTTCCTTTCTGTGAGATATTTCTGTGCCAATTTCTCTCCTCAACTGTGATATCCGTAGAAAGAGATTTGAGTTCAAATTTATGAAAAGGAGTTTCTCCCTTTGTGCAGAAGGTTCAGTGTGGGTGGAGTATTTTCATGACTCTAAAAGTATTCAGATGTTTAGGTACTTTGTACCTAGACCTCGCTAGACACTCAGTGTGTGTGCAGATTGTGTAGGTTTTGGGGTCTGGAAGATGAGGTTTAGAGCAGAGATTTTTCAGTTGCTTTGGTTCCTGAAAAGGGCTGGGCACAGCTCAAATA